TTTTTTTTTTTTTACTTTTTTTTTTCAACTTTTTTATTTATTTTTGGAACAGAGAGAGACAGAGCATGAACGGGGGAGGGTCAGAGAGAGAGGGAGACAGAGAATCGGAAACAGGCTCCAGGCTCCGAGCCATCAGCCCAGAGCCTGACGCGGGGCTCGAACTCACGGACCACGAGATCGTGACCTGGCTGAAGTCGGATGCTTAACCGACTGCGCCACCCAGGCGCCCCATGTTCTCAGTTTTTAAGAGTCTCTTATGCTTTGGCTGTCTCCCACTCTAACCTCCTTTTTTTTTTTTTTTTTTTTTCCCTTCCCCTCCCCCATGGGTTTCTGTTAAGTTTCTCAGGATCCACATAAGAGTGAAAACATATGGTATCTGTCTTTCTCTGTATGGCTTATTTCACTTAGCATAACACTCTCCAGTTCCATCCATGTTGCTACAAAGGGCCATATTTCATTCTTATTGCCACGTAGTACTCCATTGTTATTTTACCTTGAATTTAAACAGTAGTTATTGTCTCTCTGTGTTCTGTTTGTAAACAAAGGTATCAACATGGAGCAGATGCTTTCAGATAGTTCCCTAGAGCTCTATAGAAGAGCTTTTGATTACCACCTCTGAGGGAAGGAAGGGAGTCTGGCTTCAGGATCCCTCCATTCTTGTTTTAGCTGTGTAATTCTATTTTCATCTATTTTACATGCTGGGATTTTCTGTCAGATTCTTTAGCACTAGGAAAAAACATGAAAACCACTAGTCTATGTGATCTCTAAGGATGTTCTTAGTTCAAACATTTTTTTTTTTTAAGTTTATTTACTTTGAGAGATAGAGTATATGCACTGTGGTTAGAGGTGGGAGGAGGGGCAGAGAGGAGAAAGAGAGTCCTAGGCAGGCTCTGTGCCGACACGGGGCTCAATGCCACAAACTGTGAGATCATGACCTGAGCTGAAGTCAGGATTCGGATGCTTAACCGATTGAACCACCCAGGCGGCCCTTTAGTTGAAACACTTTTTTTAATCAATGTTAAATAAATTCAGCTAAACCAACGTACATAAATTATTGCTACTATAATGAAATAGAGAACTTGTATTTGAATCCTCAGTCTGCTATCCATTACCCTCAAATATGCACTTAACTTCCCAGGTCCTATTTTCCATCTGTAAAATGGGATAAAGAGTTGCCTTGCTTAACATTGAGTTGTTTTAAGGTCAAATTTATGATCATATTTTGCTTGAATACAGTAGTCCCTTCTTATTTGCAGAGGATAAGTTCCAAGACCCCCAGTAGAAGCCTGAAACTGCAGATAGTACCGAACTCTCTATACTGTGTTTTTCCCTATGTATATGTACTTGTGATAAAGTTTAGTTTATACATTAGGCACAGTAAGAGTTTACAATGATAACTAACAATAAAATATAACAGTCATAACAGTATACTATTAAAGAAGTTATGTGCATGTGCTCTTTCTTTTTCTCCAAATATCTTCTTATATTTATACTCCCCCTTGTGATGATATGAGGTGATAAAATGTCTCATGAGATAAAGTGAGGTGAATGACGCAGGCATTGTGACCAAGGATTAGGCTACTGTTGACCTTTTGATGCTGTGTCAGAAGATCATCTGCTGTTGGACTGCAGTTGACTGCAAGTATCTGAAAGATACTTATCTGCAGATAAGAGGGTACTACTGTATGTCAGGGCACCCCGGTGGCTCAGTCAGTAACTCTGGATTTCAGCTCAGGTCATAATCTCATGGTTTGTGAGTTCAAGCCCCTTTCGGGCTCTCGCTGACAGTGTGGAAGCCTGTTTGGAGTTCTCTTTCTCCCTCACTCTCTGCTCCTTTCGCAAAATAAACGTGAAAAAATTTAAAGGGTACAACTACATATCAAATTTCAGGTTAGATCCAGTCAGCAAACTTTTTCTTTATAGGTCTAAATAGTAAATATTTTAGGCTTTGTGGGGCACATAAAGTCTGGCCCATGGGCTGCAATTTGCAAATCCCTGCTTTTATTATTAATATCTAATTATTTGAAGTTATTAATTGTCAAACCATCAATAAGAACGATAGAAATTAATCCCAATTAAGAGTGAAGGTTACCCTGCTCCTATCTGGTTTGATTTTTGGTATCAGTTTATTTCTACTACCATATAGTAAATGAATTATAATTTGTGGGAGTCACTCAGAACTAGCTCTATGGCTGTTTGATTTCAGTCAGTTATAAAATTACATACAGGATTTTAAAAATTGTCATCTTAACATACATTCCATGAGATTGAATTGGCCTGCATTTGATAATGAGCAAATACATTGTGTTATTAAAAAAAGTCAAGTTGAAGGAAAATGGAGCTTGTTGTATATGCTCTTTATAATATTCTTTAAAATTAATTTTAAAATGGTAATTCTCATTTAGGAATTATTATTAAATTATTATTATCCTCTTGCAGCTTGTATGAGGTACTCTGTGAATACTGAAGCTTCATTGGACAGCACAGATGATGAACATCCTGAAAAACCAATTAAAACTAGAATAATAATGAAAATTCAGCAAAACATAGGTATTTAATTTCTTTTATAACATTGAAAAGATATTTTGAATTTTGAGTTTTCTTATTATTTTAAAATTATTTCCATTCCATTTTTGCTTTCTTAGAAGTACTGGTTTAAGGAGTATTTGAGTATTATGGAAAGTGCTAGATCCTGGAGATGGAAAGATTTATAAATAATGCATTATCTCAAGTGCCCTCGAACATGATACTTTCTGTTAATTTTTTTGGTGTTTTTAGAAGAAAAACATGTTGAGTTTTGGGACTCAGTTAGTATAGTTGGGCCAGTGCTTTGCAAACTGGTGTTCTTTGCAAAACTGTTAACGTAGAAGATTTTGGTATGTGTTCTATGAAAAAAGTCAAATGCAAGTCTGGAAATTCATAATGAATTTCAAAATTTTATTTATTTATTTATTTATTTATTTATTTATTTTTAAATATATGAAATTTAATGTCAAATTGGTTTCCGTACAACACCCAGTGCTCATCCCAACAGGTGCCCTCCTCAATACCCATCACCCACCCTCCCCTCCCTCCCACCCCCCATCAACCCTCAGTTTGTTCTCAGTTTTTAAGAGTCTCTTATGCTTTGGCTCTCTCCCACTCTAACCTCTTTTTTTTTTTTTTCCTTCCCCTCCCCCATGGGTTCCTGTTAAGTTTCTCAGGATCCACATAAGAGTGAAACCATATGGTATCTGTCTTTCTCTGTATGGCTTATTTCACTTAGCATCACACTCTCCAGTTCCATCCACGTTGCTACAAAGGGCCATATTTCATTCTTTCTCATTGCCACGTAGTACTCCATTGTGTATATAAACCACAATTTCTTTATCCATTCATCAGTTGATGGACATTTAGGCTCTTTCCATACTTTGGCTATTGTTGAGAGTGCTGCTATAAACATTGGGGTACAAGTGCCCCTATGCATCAGTACTCCTGTATCCCTTGGGTAAATTCCTAGCAGTGCTACTGCTGGGTCATAGGCTAGGTCTATTTTTAATTTTTTGAGGAACCTCCACACTGTTTTCCAGAGTGGCTGCACCAGTTTGCATTCCCACCAACAGTGCAAGAGGGTTCCCGTTTCTCCACATCCTCTCCAGCATCTGTAGTCTCCTGATTTGTTCATTTTGGCCACTCTGACTGGCGTGAGGTGATATCTGAGTGTGGTTTTGATTTGTATTTCCCTGATGAGGAGCGACGTTGAGCATCTTTTCATGTGCCTGTTGGCCATCCGGATATCTTCTTTAGAGAAGTGTCTATTCATGTTTTCTGCCCATTTCTTCACTGGATTATTTGTTTTTCGGGTGTGGAGTTTGGTGAGCTTTTTATAGATTCTGGATACTAGCCCTTTGTCCGATATGTCATTTGAATTTCAAAATTTTAAAGGCTCCAAGAAGTGTGGCAGTCACTTTAACATTGTTCAGACTTACTAATGGAAGAACATGTAGACTGTTGTTAAGTGGAATGCCAATTTGAAAAATGCTTTGTAAGCATTAAGACTTTTGACTGAGAGAAGTTAGGAAATTTAGTTGTTTTTGTTGTCACTTACTCATTAGCTGATTACCCAAATTCTTTGTACCAAAGTGTGTGTATATGTGTGGGTCTGTGTCTGGACTTCTCTGGTCAGTTTTGTTTTGGTTAACTTACAATTATCAGAAAAAAAATGAATAAAAATAAAAGTTACCAGCACAGGCGTACTAATTCTTAGATTTTATAATGGTGGAATCTGAGTTTTTGTAGTTTTAATAGCTACACAATTGACTTTGCCTTGTAACGTTTGAGACACACTGCTCATTGGAGCTCTCTTATGGTTTAAGCTAGTTACCATGAGATGGCTTGGATGTCATTGTACATATTTATTTTATTTAATTAATTTATTTTTTAAAACTTTATTTAAATCCAACCAATTAGTGTATAGTGTAAATATGGTTTCAGGAATAAAATTCAGTGATTCATCACTTACATATAAAACCCAGTACTCATCCCAACAAGTGCCCTCTTTAGTACCCATCACCCATTTAGCCCACCCCCTCTACCACCCCTCCAGCAACCCTCAGTTTGTTCTCTGTATTTAAGAATCTCTTATGGTTTGTCTCCTGCTCTGTTTTTATCTTATTTTTCTTTTCCTTCCCCTATGTTCATCTGTTGTGTTTCTTAAATTCCACATATGAGTGAAATCATATGGTATTTGTCTTTTCTCTGACTGACTTATTCAGTGTACATATTTTTTTTTTTTCAACGTTTATTTATTTTTGGGACAGAGAGAGACAGAGCATGAACAGGGGAGGGGCAGAGAGAGAGGGAGACACAGAATCGGAAACAGGCTCCAGGCTCTGAGCCATCAGCCCAGAGCCCGATGCGGGGCTCGAACTCACGGACCGCGAGATCGTGACCTGGCTGAAGTCGGACGCTTAACCGACTGCGCCACCCAGGCGCCCCTTCAGTGTACATATTTATAGAAGGCTTTTTGGGGCACGTGGGTGGCTCAGTCAGTTAAGCATCTGATTTCAGCTCAGGTCATGATCTGATGGTTCGTGGGTCAAGCCCCACATCAGGCTCTGTGCTGACAGCATAGATTCTGTCTCTCTCTGCTCCTCTCCCACTCATACTATGTCTCCCTTTCTCTCAAAAATAAATAAACATTAAAAAATTAAAAGTAAAAAAAAGAAAGAAACCTTTTCAAGTATGTGTGAGTCTTTCTCTTAGGTGAGTACACATGTGTTAAAGAGACATGCTTTTTTTTTTTTTAGGGTTTTGTTTGCTAAGTGGTGAAGTACATGGTTACCAGTTCAACCTTGGCAAACTGTTCAACTTACAGCTGTATTTTCCTCCTCAGACTTTGCTGGCTTTTAGTACATATATATGTGTGTGTGGAAGTATATGTGTTTGTGCATGTGTGTCTCGTTTAGGCGCATCAGTTACCTGCATTTCAGAGCTGAGGATCAGTTAAGCCTTTCTTTTGCTCATCCCATTTCCACGTGTTTTGTGTTTGTTTTACTTGTAGGCGTGATTGCAGCGGTTGCAGTTGCAGTCCTTGCTGCGGGGATCTCCTTTCACTACTTCAGTGATTAGGGTGAGACACAAAGAGCTTCCTGATCATCCAGAGAACACTGACCAACAATTATGAATCATAAAGATGCAGACCATCCATCTACATTTCAGACAGTAGCAGCCAGATCTGCTGCCAATAATGCCTACTAGGTGTGTTTCTGACTAAATGGAAATCACTAGCTGCCTCATTTAGCCCTGCTTATATTATAGATGGCTTAGGCTTGCAAAAATAAAGTTGTGCATATAGATGGAAGTTGCATGTCACAAATCCTTATTATCTATTTTCAAAAATGTTCAAAATGATGGCTTACTTTCATAGATTTTAGTCCTCTTGATCTGGATTGCATATTGATCAGGATATTGAAAACGTGAATAGTCAGGGTTGACTGTATATCTTAGTAATAGAATAACTGGAGAAATTTCTAAGAAGTGGGGCAACTACCTATTAGGTGAACTCATAATCTAGGACCTTTCTAAGGCATACTCAGTTACAAAATACTGATTGAGTTCTGGTCAAGGGGTAAGGCAACCTTTTCAGAGAGGTTTGAGTTGGTAAGGATTGCCATAAATCATGTGCTTTCTCAGGTTAGCATATCATACATGTTTTAATATATTAGACATTTACTTCTAGTGGTACATTAGACTAGGTACTACAAAACTAAATCCTGAATAAAACCTACTTTTGAATGCATTAATCGGCTCAAAGACAGTAGGGAAGTTTCTGAGAATCATACCTCTATTTTGACTCCCCCACAAAAATGAACACATTTTGAGTTGGGAATTGTGAATACTCTATTAAACATGCAAGTGGGCAGTGGTTACTCAGATGGCAAATACTAGTTGCAACACTGCCAGTATGCAATTTGCCTTGGACTAGAAACAGGGAGATGAATCTGAATCTGACATGCTGTCCTAGCCAGTACAGTTGAAGTTGCTACCCAGTTTATAGTATCCTATAAATACTTCTGGCAGAAGCAAGATACAGCCTCAAGATTTCCATAGATTATGATAAAGCAGTATAGATTACCAGTGCAAATCGAAACCAGCTAGCATGAGAAAGCTTCCATAGAAATAATAAGCTTTGGATTCAGTTCTCCAAGGTCTCATCACCAACTTCTATGAAAGATGGAACCACAGGCACAAATGAGAACTAAAGAACTGCTAAAAATGAAAAAAATGTTACTTGAAATTAAAAAAAAACCAAAACCTCAAGCATGTTGAATATCATGTTAGACTCAACTGAAGACACAATAAATAAACTGTAAGTGAGTTCTAAAGAAATTATCCAGTGCTCAGCAAGGAGAAACAAGGAACAAGAAAATAAAAATATTAAAGAGAAGTTAAGAGATATGGAGAGAAGAATTACAAAGACTAGAAGTATTACGAGGAAAGAATAGAGAGGGGTGGAGGAGTGGCAAGATTTGAAGATAACTATTTTCCAGATTTGTTGGAAAAATATGACTTCATGATTTCAGGAAATGTATTATATCCCAGGCATATATGGATCAAATCCATGCCTAACCCAAAGTATTAGAACAAAAAGGTAACCAAATACAAGATTTTAAAAGCAATCAAAGGGACAAAAAGATCACCAATGAAGGCAAGACAGTCACATACTTAGTAGGCTTCTCAATAGCAACAATGTACCCAAAAGATGATGGATTCAAAATTATGAGAAAAACTAATTATCAACTTAGAATTTATATGAAGCAAAACTGAAATGTTCTGATGAAAAACAGATTTTTGCCATCAACAGACTTTCGCTAAAGAAACTGCAAAAGGATGATCTTCAAGAAGGAAAATGATTCCATAAGGATGATCTGAAATTGAAGGACTAGTGAACAAATAAAGTGATAAACATGTAAATCAAGTGTTGTTAATAAAAAACAATTGTAATGAAAAAAGTGTTTTTAAGAAGTAAAACTGTAAAAAAAAATGTAAAACTAAATAAACATTTTATGCAACATGAATGTGGACTTCTAAAATAGGATATAATTGAAAAACTGGATAGTAGCTTATAAGATGGAAGGAGGGTGGTTAGAATTAAAGTGTTCTGAGGTGCCTTTATTGTTCAAAAAGTGGTTGAAAATACTGTTTAAAGTATGTTAAACTGCTAAAAATAGTAGATAGGGAATGAATCATTGCAAAGGATAAGAAGTTTAAAATAATGGAATAGGAATACAGTAACAGTACAAAAGGAAGAAATTAGGGGTGGAGAGGGGCAAAATAGATAAAATCATAGTAACAAGATAAGTAATACTATTAAACTTGAATAGACTAAACCCAGTTCAACAACAGACTGATTAAGTTTTTAAAATCCAGCTGTAGGCTAGGTTTTTTAAAAGATGAAAACACAGACAAATAAAATTTGTGTAGCTTTGGTGATATTAAATCCAAATTAGATTTTATGGTAGTATTATTAAAGATGGAGAAAGCCACCAAATGATAAAAGGATCAATTCACTAGAAATAAATAACAATTTTAAATTTGTATATACTTTATAAAATGACCTCAAAATACATAAATTATAGGGCTAGACCAACAAATTGAACAACAGAGTGGGAAATTTCACCAGCTCTCAATTATTGGTAAATAAACCAAGCCAAAAATGAATGGAAAACCAAACTTGAATAATACAATCAACATACTGATTCAACAGATTTAAAATAATCAGCAATTAGAGAATATTCTTATGCATTTTATGTTAGCGAAAGTTGACCATGTATTGGGCATGAAATAAATTACAGTAGTTTTAAAAATCAGTATTAAATGGATAATCAGAAATAAGTTTGAGATCAGTAAGAAATGTTAAGTTTTTTAAAAAGCATACATTTACATGTTTTAAAAACATAAATACTTAGAACTTAATTATAAGTACCACGTTTGGAGAAATTGGGTGGTACAGCAGAAACTGCACTGAAGGAAATGACTTTAAATGCTTAAATTTTTTAAAAAGCTTGAGTATGTAACTTAAGAAAAGAACAACAGAATAAACAATGTTGAAGCAAGGAGATACAGGCAAGGGAAGAAATCAATGAATTAGAAAACAAAATAATCACAAAGTCAAAATTGTCTTCATGACAATAAAATTGGCGTAATTGAACAAGAAGAAAACAGGGCCCAAGTAGACAACATAAAGATTGAAAAGGATTCTTGGGGCACCTGGGTGGTTCAGTCAGTTGAGCTTCAGACTTCAGTGCAGGTCATGATCTCACAGTTGGTGAGTTTGAGCCCTGCATCGGGCTTGCTGCTCAGTGCAGAGCTTGCTTCAGATCCTCTGTCCCTTTCTTTCTCTGCCCTTCCCCTACTTGTGCACTCTCTCAAAAAACATTTAAAAAAAAGGATTCCATAGATATAGCAGAGATGAAAATGCTGAGACTGACAGAAGCATCTTAATATATTTGAAAACTTAGACAAAATTGATTAAGGTCTAGAAAAATACAATTTCTTTAAATTGTCTAAAGAAGAAATAGACAAGCTAGATAGACTTATTCAATAGGGTTGAAAAGTAAGTAATGAAAATTTTTTTGACAGACTAGCCCACATCTACAGATGTTTCTTTTTCAAGGACAATACTATTTAAACATCTCATGCAAACTCTTCCAAAGACTCTTCAGCTCATTTTGTGGATCCAGTATAACTACTCATAGTAGAATCAGATTACTCCTACATTCAGTAGGAGAAAAGAAAATTCCAGACTCATCCCACACATTAACAGATATTAAAACCAAAAGTACTATTGATCAGCTGAATTCAACATTAGATAAGAAAGGATGGTGCAATATGACTAAGTTGTATTTATACATTTAAAATCAGGAACTCAATAAGGATGCTTTTATCACCACTTCTATTCATCACTGTACTGTAGACATAATGAGCAAAGAACAAATCAGACATTTTAAGAGGTTGTGACTGAGCACATGAAAAGATGTTTAATCTCATAAGTCATCAACTAAGACCATGGTGAATATCATTTTACATCCAGTAAAATGAAAAGTTAAGAAATACGACAATATTAATGAAGAAGATTTGCATCAAGAAGACATTTACAGGTGGGGTTGTAAATCAACACACAGTTTGCCCTGGAAAGCAATTTGGCAATATCTTTTAAAGTAAACCATATACATACTCTAATACCTGACCATTCTACTTCTACATATATACCTTAGAGAAATTCTTTCCATATGTATACAAGAGTACATCTGTGAGAATGTTCAAGGCAGCCTTATTTGTAATCACCCAAATGTTTATTGACAAGAAATGAAAAATAAATTATGGATTTTGTAATTTAATTTGACAGGGAGAATGACCTAAGAAAGCAAGTCTCAGAAGCCTGCAGTATGATAAATAGCTTTTATAAAGTTTAAAAACAAGCAAATCTCGTCTATATTACACAGGAACACGTGATAATTTTTTTTTAATGTGGCAGAGCGATGCAAAAAATTCAGGATGTTGATTACCATTTCAAGGTGGGACTAATGGCAGAGCAGGAAGACAAGAAGGAACAAATGAATAGATGAAACATTATTGGTGATTTTTTAGTTCTTGAGTTGAAATGGGTTACTTGATATTCACTTTATGTACCTAATGGTATTAACATATATATATATTTTCTTGGTTGTCTACTACTAACAAATGACCCCCAAACTTAATTGGCTTAAAACAATGACTGTTTCATTTTTTTTTTCCCCACAATTTTGAATTGACAGGAATCAGGTTGCTCTTCACATGGTGTAGGCTAGAACTATAATTTTCTAGGAGTTTGATTAGGTTTGAAACATCCAAAATAGCTCATTCATATGGTTGGCAGTTGATACTGGCCATCAGCTGGGAACTCACCTATCACACCTCAGTTTTCTTCTGTGTGGCCTGTGTGGCTTGGGGTTCTTCCATCATGGTGACTGGGCTTCTTCCTATCGTAATGACTGGGATTCAAGAAGTAACATCCCAATTGTGAGCATTCCAAGAGGAAAGAAGTAGGACCTGTGCATCTTTTTGAGGCCCTGGCTTAGAAATCTCAGAACATCACTACATTGTGTTGGTCAAAGTAATCTACAGGACCAGCCTAGATTAAAGATGAAGGGGAAAAATCTTTACGTCTCAATGGGTATGCATATATGAGAAGGAAAGGATTTGATGGCAACCATCTTTGGAGATTATTATCATAATATACCCTGTGGACTCTGGACATAGCAGTTCATGTTCCTGATGTGGAAAATGAATTTACCACCTCTCAAGACACCTTAAAAGTTTCATCTTTAGATTCAGGCTCAAGGCCCATAATCCCATCATTTGAATCAGTTTCAGGTACATGATGAGCCACCTTTACTTCAGCTCTTCTCAATATGAAGATGCATGAACTAAGAAACAAGTTTTCTTCCCCATATATCCATATGGTAAGACCGGCAATAGATTCTTGTCTGAAAGGAGGGAAAATGAGAGGTACAAAGCAGAAAATGGTTCATAGCAATTCTGAACTCCCAACTGGGCACATGTCTCTAAAATCATCATGATTCTAGGCACAGGGAGTGTATGTTAATTAGGGCCTAATTCTCAGCTCTGGCCCTTCCCTGTGAGATTTTGACTCTAATCTGAGTTGTCCTTTTCCATGACAGTGCCTTGTTTGAAGCTGAATAGCTTTCTCAACTTGCTTCCTTGTCTTTGAAGATTGAAGGCCCAGAAGCCTCTTTTTATTTTGAACTGCCTCTTCCTTTTAGACCAAACTGATGTAATTCCTTTAAAAATATTGTGTATTTTCTATGAATCAAATTATAATCCACTCCATTCAGCAAAAGGCACACCCACAAATCTGTTCAAGATAGGCCTCTCCCTCTACTTTGAGCTAAGTGCCAGGATGCTGAAAGACAACATCCTTAAGAATCAGGTACCAATTGCCTTGCTGAGTGGACTAAAATAAAATACATGCTTATAAGATTCTTAGAAGTCTTTTTGTCTAGCTAAGAGATCTATGAGGCACTGGATTAAATATTTCTGAAGTCTTAAAGGTTATTCTAGCTGTACTCTTGATCCTAACTTGTGCTTTGTTTTACTTGCAATTCCCTAGAGTTGAGCATTGCCCAGAGGTCATTTCCTCCTCTCGAATTTCTTGCTGGCTGGAAAAAGGTGTTCAGGGCCTTTATATTTCCTATAAACTTTGCTCCAAAACTGAACAGTTTCTTACTTAGTTCATCTCTCTTTCCATCTCTGATCAAAGCCAGTAAAAGTCAGTTGGAATTTTCAATATTCTGTCTGGAAATCTCCTTGGCCAGATCCACAAGATTATTCAGTTATATCTTCCAGTTTGTGATTTACACAAGTTCATTAGTTCTACCTTTCACATTACTGCAGGTGAAAGTGCCTTTCATAACAAGGGTTGCCTTTCAGTAACAATTTTTTTCATTGTTCTTGCCATCATTGTTTCCTGAAGGCCTTAAAGCTTTTGTCTCCTTCTAAGTTCCCATGTTAAGTCTACATGTTTTGGCTTTGGCCCAGTGCTACTTTATTTCTAGGCACCAGTTTCTGTTTTGGTTATCTCTTCATAATCATCTCAAAACTTACTGGCACTAGCCATTTTATTAATGGTTTTATTAATCATTTATTTATGATTCTATAGATTGACTGGGTTCAGCTGGCTCAGCTGAAAGGTTCTGCTCCACATGATGTTAGCTTGGGCTTCAGTTATCTAAGGGCTGTGACATCCAAGATAGCTCATCCACATATTTGGCAATTTATCTGCTGCTTTTCCACATAACCTCTCCACATGGCTTAGGCTTCTCAAATCATGGTGGTTGGATTCCAAAAGGAAGAGCCCCAAACATCAGTGTTCAAAAAGCAAGGAAGTGGGAATTGTTACCTCTTAAAGGACTGGGCTTAGAAATCCCAGAATGTCATTCCTCTATATTCTATTGGTCAAAGCAAACAGGGCCAGTATAGTTCCTAGAGGAGAGGGAAAAGAAGTTCACCTCTCAAT